CGGCCGCTCCCCTGCAAAATCTCCCTACACAAAGTGCTCCAAGATAATCACCCAGCGGGGCATCCCCCTCCTCATCCTCACTGGCGACACCTGGGGCTGCCCCGCCTGGGAGGGGAGGGCACGTGGAGTCACAGGCGAGGGGGAGGGAGACGAGCTAGAGGGGTTGGAGCCTTTTCGGGGACGACTGGAGTACTCCGTGTTCATCAGCAGGTGGCAGCAGTGGTTTAAATCCCAGCCCAGATCTCAGACTTGCTGTGTTACACTGAGAGGAGACAGAAAAAACTCTCTGAATACAGTTTTTATTTCCTTCATATCCAGCATATTTTCTCATACTTTCACGTCCTTTCCTGTTTTTTTACATATAAAACTTACATTTGTATTTCCCAACTCTATATATCTATATTCAGAATTTCTTTTACTCTAAGATCCTATATATAATACAGCCGTTACAAGGTTCTATTTTGAAATCAATTTATATATAAAGTAGTATTATTTTTCAATATATAGAAAAATGAGGAATGTTAGTCTTTAGTATTGTTTGTGCCCCACCCACCCCTCAATGAATTTTCAGGCATTTTTGGAAGGACCCTGCATAAATCCCTTCACTCCCCACCAACCTCACCTGTATGAGGACAGTGCCTTGCCTCCACTCAGGCTCTACTGAACCACACTCCCTCTCATTTACTGTGCTGCAGTCAGTGCTGGATGTCTCAGCCCTACCCTATGACATTGCTGCAGGGAGATCAGCCCATGAAGCTTTAGGACATGGCTGTACCGGGATCAGAATATGTGCTCACAGACCCACCTCAAACCGAATCCACAGCACCCACACCCCGGCCTCTGTGTGCCTCAGTCTGTAGGGACAACCTCTGCAAAGGGGCCTCGGGAATGAGCACCAGACCCAGGACACAGTTACAGAGTGCTGAATGCAGTGAAAACTTGAATGTGCTCTGAAGGATCTGAATACCACACTGAAAAACAGAGAATTTTCTTTTAAAAAGTAATTTTATTTTGTATTTTCTACAGAGTTCCTAGCAAAACTTTCCCATTACTGAAGGGAAAAAATACAGGTCAGGCAAGCTTATCCAGCACTAGTGAAACACACCCTTGACAGCGCAGTTGCACTTGTCCTTGGAACTTCACTACAGTTCTGACACTTCATCTTTGCACTGACAAAGAAAACTGCAGTGTTGAAAGAGTGCTGAGATGAAGAAGGATACATTAAGTGGACAAGAGGGACACACAAATAAAAGAAATAAAGAGCATTTGTAAAACTTGCCATATACAAAATAACTTCTTCTGGAGGGTGATTTTCAATTTTTTTTTTAACTGAAAGCCTGAACAAAGATAAACCTTTCACCAGAAATCATTTGAAAATGCTGTTTTTACAAGCAATAATGGGGCACTAATCAAACCACCAGTCTCCTGCAAACTTGTGATAGTTTTCACCCTAGGCCTTCCTGGAGACCAGCTTGTAACCAGGAAGGAACTAGAAAAGCGATAAAGGAAGTATTCCATATCATTCCTTTCCGTAACACAACATATAAAAAGGCACAGATAAGAGAGTTCGCTTTTCTCTCTTCCAGTGGCTGAAGGCAACAGGTCTCTCCGTAGATGGGCTTTGCTTATATAGGCCAGGGCCTGCTACTCAGACCTGCCGTTATCTCCGGTCTCTCCGGGAGGTGTGGGGGAATTGGCTGCTGCCTTGCACAGCTGTGCTGTCCTGCTCAGGGAAGTATTTAATTTGTCTTTATATTTATTCTTTAGCTCTCTATTAATGGGTATATTTAGAAGATATTTCTTTTTAGGTTTCTTTTTATCCCTGTTTTCCCCCTCCCTTTTCCCCCCCTTGTGTATAATATAATTCAAATTGTAGATATAATTGTAAATATATGTAATATGTATATATTTGATATAATCCCGTTTCATTTGAACTTCTTTCAGTTTTTTTCCTGTGGTTCGTTTTTTTTTCCCTTGCTTGGGGACAGCTTGGACTTGGCAGGAGAGCCAGGCCAAACTGATACACACATTCTTATTGGGGGCTCATCCAGGATATTTTGGTTAAGTTTGGCCTGTTTTGAAAACATTGTCCAGGAAGACAGCCAAGCTCGGTGTTATTTTGCAAACCAATCTATTGTTTTGGGAACAGGTCCAGGAACACTGCCAGAGTCTGGGAAAACTGCCAAGTGCAGTCTTTGTTTACCCTCTCAGAGTTGAGGGTGCCAAGCTTTGGGGCCAGTCCTGCTATGGAGCACAGCCACTGGTGGCCCCAGGCCTGCTTAGCCCAGCAGGACTGATACTTTGCTCCTGATGAGTTCAGCGTCCCTAGGTGAGGGAAAAACCAGTCAACACCTTGTCAACTAGACCAGAGCACTGAGTGCCACGTCCAGTCTCATCTGCAAAATGTTCATTGTCAAACCTCTAGTGAGGTCTTTAGCTGAGAGGAGGAAAAAGTATTTTGCATCTCCATTGGTACAGGTGTAGATAGAGGCCGACAGAGCTTTTGCCTTTTTCAGACAATCGCACAGTTTCCTGACTCCCTAGCAGCTGAATGTCACAGATCTCCTTTCCTACATCCATGCAGATGTCACACACAGGTACCTTTACATGTTTTCTCAAGCCTATGCAGGGCCAAGATTTTGTCACCCTGTACATTCCAAGGTGAGTGTTCTGGTTAGTGAGTACAGCAACTTCCCCCCCTCCTTGCAATCAAAGAACCATTTTCCCAGGCCATTTCTTTTAAGGGTTAGGATTTTTTAAAACTGATGTCGTGTCACCAAATCTGCTTGGGATCTCTCCCATCTTTTTGACTGTCCTTGGATTTAAAAAGCACACACTCCCTTCCATTTTCCAACAGCAAAACACAAAATGCTCCTGACCCACAATGTAACCCTAAGGATGGGCACCCCCACCTCGCCATTCTGACGGAGAGCTGTCGAGCACCCCCAACCCACCCGTGGGATCTGAGTACAGCAGCACAGACACGGCAATGCCGAGAGCGGGAACAGCAGCCCTGCTGATGGGATTTGTGCAGCAGGAGACAAGCACAGAGGGACACATTTGGCCACTCACAAACCAACACTGAATTTCCTCAAAACCTGTTCCCCAAGACCATCTGCTCAGAACACTGTGCCAAACAGCATACTTTGGTGCATTCAAAACAGTCAAATTCTTGGATGCTTGCTATTTTCTTTCCCTCACTGTTGTCATTCCTTCAGAAATTCTACCCATAGCCAAGTTACTGGCTACTTCTTCAGGCATTTCCCTCCCTGGTACTACCAGCACATTTACACAGTCAAGGAACTTAACAGCTTTCTAAAATTATCCAGGTGCCAATTACAGCCACAAAAGAAAAGCAAAAGGAAAAGAAGGGTCAGGTAGCCAGAGAGCTCTGCAGGTGGCACCAGGCAACATCACACTTGCTAAGACACATCCTTTTGCACAGAGGAGGAAACAGGCCAATATTATGGCAAGTTGTGCCCTTCTCCCAGTGCTGACAATAATCACATACAGCACCATGTAAAGCTCAAAGGGGGCATGTCTCAGTCAAAGTGACTCACCACAAGATAAGCGGGTGGGGGGGGCGCGCGGAAATGGCAAAAGCAGAGACACCAGGACATTCTCTTGCTTCCAAGGCAAGACCAATCATCCCTCTAGGAAAAGGGAAAGAGGCAAGGGTTCATCAAGCAATACATAATTTAGCAAGTGAGTTTAACATATACCATCAGGTTTTGTGCACAGAGGAAATAAAACTCACTGGTTTTAGTAGCTAAAATATCAGGGGAAATTACCGTCTGGTTACAGCAGTAAGCTTCCCACAGCAGTTTCAGGTGCCTGCCTTTGGAGACCAGCCCCAAAGCAGAAACTCCTCTCGACTGCTCCTGAGAGAGGCAGTTGGAACTTTAGGTGCTCAGGAAATCGATTCCCTCCCCTAAGTCCTGGCTCACCTGCCCGAGCATCTACAGTGCTAATATTCCACCTCACTCTCTGCTTTGCACGTTCGTATCAATAAAAGAAACTTCCAAGGTCTTCCTCAAGTGCAAGCTGCATCTTCTCTGCACCCCCATACTCTCCCACCTCTTCACGTGCGCTGCTCCCCTCTCCTGCGCTGCTTCCTGGAACAGGGCTCATCCCTCGGCACCTTCCTCGAGCGATAATCCAGGTGCATCCGGTGCTTCCCCCAGACCTGCGAGATGTTCTCACCATCACTGCTTGAGAGACTGCCTGGGATCGAATGCTCCCCTGCAGAAGCTCCCTATAAGAAGTGCCCCAGACAACCACCCACGCCCTCCCCTCGTCATCCTCACTGGCCACACCTGGGGCTGTCCCGCATGGGAGGGGAGAGAAGGGCGGGTGGAGTCACAGGCGGGCACGCGGGAGAGGAGGCGGCGCGAGCAGGAGGGAGGGGCCGGCGCTCGCGCCGCTTCGCGGGGTTTGGCTCTGGGCTCTGGGGTTCTTTTGGGCTGGTTTTGGATGCGGATTTGGGGGACTGCGCACACCCTCCCCTGGTCACAGCCCCGCCCCAGCTCGCTGCACCCTACTGCACTCCCCGCACCCCTTGCTCAGCTCCGCGGGGATTTGTGCCTCCTCTGAAGGTGGCAAATGTCTGCAAAGCGAGTCGGGAAGCCAGAGAGCTGCGGCCCCCGGGCCCCGTCGCGGCTTCCCCGCCGTCACCCGGCACCTCCCGCCCGTCCCGCCCCGCAGCGCCGCTCCCCGTGCCGCCCTCGAACACAAACCCCCCAGCACAGGCCGGTCCCTCCCCGGCAGCCTCGGCAGCGCCGGGAGCGGCCGCAGCCCCCAACGACGGGCGGGGCGCGCCGGGAGGGGCCGCGCGGGGCGGGGGCGGGTCCCGCGGCTGCGACCCCGCGGGGAAGGGACCCCCGGGCCGGCCCGGTCCGGCACCGCCGCTGGCCCTGCTCGGCCACCGCCCCTCGCCCACAGTTTAACATTGGAGAGCCAAGATTTAACCCAGAGCGCTGCAAGCTCCCAAGTGCAGGGCATTTCCATAGACTTGTTATTTTTCTCTTTTCAATGACCATGTTGCTAAAGTCAGGGAAATACAATCAGCATTCCCTAAACACCATCACTTCTACATCCACCTGGGATGAGGGGACGACGGGCAGCAGCCTGTCCTGGACAGGCTGCAGGGATGGTGTGAAGGCCACTGTTCCCCAGGTTTGAAGGACTCTGGCCATGATTCCCGGCCCGTGAACAGAAAGCCCAGAGCAAACGGGAACTCCAGCCAGCTGCAGGCAGATGTTACTCCGTCCCAGTTTGCCAGGGGTGGGGAGAAAGGTGCCCTTCCCTGTTTGGAAATGGAAGTCATCCCCTGTGCAGAGCCCACTCTGACCCTTGGCCTCGTGGGAGCCAATTCCCCTGTCCCAGCCCACTTCCTGCAGAGAAGAAAGGGAAAGATTGCACATAAGGAAGAAATTCTTCCCTGGGAGGGTGGGGAGGTGGCCTGGCACAGAGAAGCTGTGGCTGCCCCATCCCTGGAAGTGGCCAAGGCCAGGCTGGACGGTCTATTGGAAGGTGTCCCTGCCCGTGGCAGGGGGTGGAAGGAGATGATCCCTGAGATCCTTTCCAACCCAAACCACTCCAGGATCCCAGGATGATTCCATGCTCTCTCTCTGCATTTATTTGGCATCATTTCCTCTCAAAAATAACATCTGCAATTTAGTTGATTGCTAAAGCCATCATTTTAAAATCATCCCAGGAATAAAAAGGGACTGGAAAACACACAGAAATC